ATTGTTGGCAGTTAAATTCAGTCCCTATACAAGTAGCATTTAATCGATTTTTGATTGACTGAATTTAAACTTCTGACGAATTATAAAACCCTAAATGAAGCCAGCGGAATACGAAACTATCCAACTACTCCGAGAAGAAATGCCGAAACAAACTTACCTTTTTATTTTTTTTTATTTTTTAGCTCCATGACACGTTATTATGTTAATCACAGATCCATAAAAAATCCATATTACCATTATTTCATACTGAAAAGTCGAATAACACTTTCAAATTTTCCAATTATAATATATACCACATAAATATTTATTTTAATGAAAATCGCAATTTACGCTACAAGACGAACATTTTACGTAAATTGCAAAAAAAATACTTTAGCAATCTAAATAAAATGACCACAAAATCTTCATTTTAAGAGACATATTCAAATTAAGGACGAGATCACAATAGGACCGAATAATAAGGACGCGTTGAGGCGTACTGGGATCATACAAAGACTCATCTATACATTCAAGATCGGAGGTACGACGGGAATTTCATCTCAACGCTTCATCTATTTCAATATTTCTATAATGGTTACTTGGTTTTGTACAGGCTGTATTATAAGTTTGTGGGTGATAATTTATATTATAATAATGTGATAATTCAAGGATATTCACATTACTAACTTTTAAGTTTCGCGATTCATGTATACAACATATAATTACGCGGGTGTTAACGCGAAAAGTAAGTATGTAATTTTAATTAATTAAATAAATAAATAAAAAAGTAATTATTTAAATATCTTGGAAGGCTTTTTTTTGGTTATTGTGAGGGGAAAATCCTCAAAAAACTTCTGAGTGTTCTCTTCTATTAATGACTAAAAAACCCCCGTTCCTTCTCCTGTTTCGGGCCGAGGTTGCGATGCCTCATTGCGCTTACCCTGCAACCCCGGCTGAGGAAGGCTTAACGTTTCGTCCTGGTTGCATAGGTCGTGGTCATAAGCAGGACAAAGATGCAATGTCACAACTCCCTGCATTGGGGCTGCATGAATCTTCATATTCCCCCTTTTTTTATTTTCTACCATATTAGACCGTCAGCGCACTACGCTGACGGTATGATATTCACATCACTTATTGCTTAGTGCAGGCAATTTTTTCTTACACATAGCAAAGAGTTTGAAGAACTCTATGCAAGTGGCATAATGTATCTTTTTTTTAACTACAATGCCACTCTAAGATTTGCTCCTCTGTTGTGGTACATTTACAAGACAACAAGTTCATAAACAAGACACACTAACTAAAAATCAATCCCGCGATACATTGTTCAGTAGCTGGTTATCCGGGTACTGCACCAAACATACAGTCCAATATTTATAATAATTGGAGATATGTTGGTACATTTAAAGCTATCCATACTTTATGATTTGTGTAACAGTGGGAAAAATGCGCTTTATTTCTTTTATTAGGACCTAAGTTTTGAATTTCACATTTCTGCAAATGTAATGTAACAATTAATAACGCATTCAGGGTGCTGTTGGGGGTAATCGTGGCCATGTAGTTCGTCAGGGATGTTCGCGTGCTCGTGTGTTGATGAGTTCGCCGCGATCATGCGAAAGCGTTGCGCCTCCATGATGTCGCGCCTGCGCTCCACGTCCGATGGCATCCTGAATGTGTTCGCAGATCGGTGGGACTCTCCCCTCTTACGACGGTAGATAAGTGTGCAGACACACTTTTCTAAATAAACTGGTGTGTTTTAATTGTATTATGTGATACTAACATTAGGCTAAGTTGTTTTATTACTAACAATATATGGATGTATATCTGAAATAAATATTTTTGACTTTAAATGTGAGAATTATTTGCGGCGCATTGTAATACAATATTCTCAGTAGAAAATGAATAGCACAAAGTTTATTATTGTATTGTTATTTTTTCCACTTATCCCTTATGTACTGAAGCAGAGTTCTCCTAAATAAAAATAATTATTGAATTCAGCATTTTTATTTCTAGGCCACATTATTTAGGCCAAACCTATTATTGTTCACTGGTTCATAATTATTTGTGTATCCTTATTCTGTTAGAATTTAGCGAAAATAAGGTTATATTTTTTCTAAAAATAGGTATCTAATGAAACAGAACATTGTGATTTCGACGAATCATTTTAGGACTTTTGTTGGTAAAATTATGTGTATGTGCGAAACAAAAAATAAATGCTCCAAATAAAGTTCTCTATTAATCATTTAAGAAGTGTCGCATTAACATCTTCAGACTATCAATGCCCACTACTGATCAAAGGCCTCTTCTCACACGGATAAGTTTCTCAACGATGATTTTCTTCAACGTATGTCAGCAGTGTCTAAATAATCATAGAATGTATGTACATGTCGTGTAACTCAGAAAAGTCACATTGGTACTTGCCAGGTATCGAAACCCGCACCATTAAGCGTGAGAAGCGGGCGCCTTAATCTCCAGGCCACCACGTAAATTGTCGCAACTTCTAAATAAGCTCCTGAATGAACTGACCTCAAATAAAAATAATTTAAAATTAACCGTTACGCGAACAATAAATTGAGTACAGCACCCTCTATTGTGCTAATAGGGTGATTAATGAACAAAGCATGAAAGTTCTTCATTAGGGAATTGCCTATGGGCATCAGACAACAATAGCGAACTATTATTTTGTCGCTCCACGTACAGAATTTAGCAAAATTTGCATTATAATTGAATTCTCTGTGCAATTTTTGATGTACCTAGTTGGGCTAAATAGCTACAAAATTTAAACGGATTATGGTTAACTTAGTTCAAATATAAATTTATCGGAATATTTATTTTATGGTGTTTAATTAGATTTTTGTTTAAAATTCTGCGGTTATATGTTATGCTTAGAGTTGTGAAAAGTTCAACACATAATTATTGATTAATTAATTTATTAAATATAGCTCTTTTTACATTTCAGTTTGAGTTCCGAGAACAATTTTTTATGGTCTATATACAAATGAATGACAAAATATATTGGTGAGCGCATAACTCAACATCGCCTGGAGAATTTTGCCAATTCTTTTTTGCAGGTTTTGGTATTGTCTGGAGAAAGTTTCAAGAATAAAAATAAAACGTTGAGGCGAAAATTAGGGCATACTGAAGAATTTGTCCTTAGAGTTAGACATCGGTGTGAAGTACGGATATGGCCGTTATAAATGTCATAACTTCTTCCTCTCTCTTATACTCTTTACTTTCTCGAAGTGAAATGAAAAGGACTGTAAATAAAATTAAGCCATTTTTAAATAAGAATATATTTATTGTTATTAATATAATCTACACATACCATCACAACTTTATTTTGGATACGAGTAACACTAATATTAAATCACGGTTCTAAGTTAATCTCAATTTTATACAGTGAAGGGTTCCGAACATAATCATGAAAGTTAAAGTGTCGTGTCAAGACAAAAGCCTTAATGCAATAATGAAAGCTTACCTACTCTTAATAAAGGCAACGGGTAGGGTCCCATTTTGGGTAGGGTGGATTTTCCGAGTATGAAGTTACTTATATTCTATCCAATATTATTTTGATATAAATTTGAAAGATATTTTATTTTATTTATTTGTTCTTACATTATGATGAGGTTTTAATCAAGATAGATGTAGTTTGGAAAGCCATGCTTCGGGACAAATGGGTTGGCTCGATCGAAGTGATACCACGGTTTCACAGAAAACCGGCGCGAAACCGAGTGAGGTTACCGAAGGCCCAATCTTTCCCCTCTCCCGATCCCTCTCCAATCCCTAAATCTCCAAACACTAATCCCTAGAAGGTCAGCAACGCACTCGTAACTCCTCCGTTGCAGGTGTCCATGGGCGGCGCTGATTGCTTACCATTAGGTAGACAGTCTGCTCGTTTGCCGACCTATCATAAAAAACAATAAAAAAAACACGCCCTAATACTGTGGTTATCACGCAGCCAAACATAGTGATGAGATCTGGTATGGCTTAAAACTAATTGATTTTGTCTAACAATTACGTATCTATAGGCTATGTAACAAAATTTGCCAACGTTTCATTAAAATTTTACGCAAAGAAAATTACCTATCTAACTCCTAACCAATTTCCGACACGAAATTCGAACTAAAACTTACGGGTATTTGAGACCGAATTTCAATACGTGTTTTAGTAGCACCAAACCCTAAAACTGCAGAAGTAGTGGTTAAATGTACCGTTACCACGAACTTGCCTCGTTTTGAACCGGTCACAACGGTTAGAAGTTCGCATGACGTGTGTTTCAACCTCAATTGTTCGCTTCTTCTCTCCAAATTAACGTTTCAGGTAGCTATTTAGTATAGTTCTGTAAGGAATCTTTGTTCGTTGCGGTTTTGTGGGTTCGTTTGAAATTGAGACCTGTTTTTAATGTAATTACTTACTTTTGCAATGAATTTTAGTATGTTTATTCAAATAATTTGTTTACTTTATAATGGAATGACAAATATAAGCCAATAAATTACCAAAATATTTTCAGTATTTTTAATAGGTAATGCTACAATGGAGCAATCTATTGAGTCGGACACATTAAAACCTAGTGTTTTCAATACCCAGGTTTTAATACTCTTCGGGGTGCATGGACTCCAGCAACAAATTCCATTCCTTACCGGTGCCGAATCGTGGCTCTCCTAAACTTCACTTAAATATACATACGTATATATAATGAATAACGTCAAGGTTTTTACTTACACTCACTAGTAATAAATATTGCACACTACCAAATATTTGTTATCTATACTAAATATTATAAAGAGGTAAAATTTGTAAGTTTGTATGTATCAGGTAATCTTTGAAACCGCTCATCGGATTGTCAAAATTCTTTCACTGATAGATAGCTACAATGTTCCTGAGTGCTATAGGCTATAAAACATCACGCTACGCTTACATGGAGCCGAGCAGCGGGTGAAACCGCGCGACAGTGGCTAGTTACTTATATAACTAAACTTCTGTAAGCCATCTGTTTTAATACTAAAATAAAACAAATTAAATTGCTCCAATATAAATTTATTTTAATATTTCTGTAAAGGTTTCCGTCCACTTCCATTTCTCAACTAGATACGTGGGTAATTTTAATAAGTTGATTATATGACCTTCGCACATTTTCCAACTAATTCTTTAACAATCTTGCAATTCCCATCATCACTCCACTCAGTGCAGCGCTGCAAAAAGAAAAAAAAACGGAGTAGAATGACTTATTGTAAAGTTGATCTTCGTATTCTGATTAAATCCTATATTTTTTTCGTAAAACATTGAACCTTCATTAAACCCTTTGTACAATCTAGAATATAGTAAAAAAATCACTCCGTGGCGCTTGAGGCGGAATACATCATCATTCATCATCTGCCTATAAAATCACCTACTTAATATCTTACCTACATAAGAATTAATCAACAGGCATGCTCAATATGGATTGGGGATTGTAAACTAATAATGCCAAACATCAATATATATAACATACAAAAACATCTAAATAACTTTAAATTCGAAAGAGGTCCCATTGGTAGTTACTTGCCAGATTCCGCGACACCACTACGTATGATATGGCCTATAAGCGGCGGTGTTACAGAGATGGAATGTAAAAAAATACTTTGCCTTATTTTTACTGTCTTCAAAAAGGAGGATGAATGATAAAAAAAGGTTTACTCACATTGATTAAATGCAACGAGACACAGTGCTTGATTTTAATAAAGTCGCAGAACTCTGGAGGTCCATAGTTATTGAGGTCCCCGTTGATACAATTTTTCTTTATTTCATCGAGTAGATCTTTATCAGGAGCAACGTCTTTTGTCATTACTTCCTCGAACTTCTTAATGTCCAATTTGCCATCATCAGTGGCAAAACCTTTCTTTTTGGCTATGCATAGATCAATTTCACACTGTAAGTGAAAATTGGAATCAAAGTGATTAAGTGACATTAATAATATATTACTAATTTTATTGTAATTCAAAGACGAAGCATTTGGTTCTTTTAATTCTTAAACTAGCACTTATAAAAGATGTTAGTTGAATTGCCCATCCGCCTGTTTGTCAATGACGCTTGGTCTGGTCATTGTTTGAATCGTTCCAAAATATTGTGGCGTGTAGATAAGAATGGAAAAAAAAATTAAATGAAATACAGCTGAATGACTTAATTGAAAATAATATAAAGAAATAAAACAAATGTGGTTGATTGTTAAAACTCTTTAAACTTAACCTTTTATATATGTTTTTTGTATATAAAATGTTACTTACTTTCATAGGGTCTTTCGATTGAGACGCATCAAAGCATTCTTTTAATTCTTCGGCTAACATGTCTTTGTTTTTAATTGCGTTATTATCTTTGCAACAACCATGTGGAGGCTGAAAGTAAAATCGTTAAATTAATGTTAAAAAAAATCTACTGAGTAGGACACATTATTACATCGACATCAACATATTAAAAAAAAGAGTTAGGTTCATACATTCATGTTTGATAATATAAAGAAGATTAAAAACTGGTCTATAAACGACATAGTATATTTAAGAGTGGGAGAGCCAGGTTTTGGGTGTGAGTCGGCTCGACCGAAGTGATACTACTACCTCATAAAAAACCGGCGTAAAACAATTACAGTGTTGTGTTTCGCCGTGTGAGTGAGGTTACAGGAGGCCTCCCTCCCGCTCCACCCATCTGTTTCCAATCCTTAAATATCCAAAACTCTTATCTTTATAAAGCCGGCAACGCACTCGTAACTCCTTTGGTGTTGGCCAATGGGCGGCGCTGATTGCTTACTATCAGGTAATCCGTTTGCTCGTTCCGACCTATACAATAAACAAAAGAAACTTACTGGGTGGAAAATACGACCGCACTCTCTTATGTCTATATCATCAGCCTGGAAAAAGGAAAACATAAAATTATTAATACCATTACCTGCATTGACACTTGATATTAACATTTTTATTACATCTTCTAATTTTTTGATAATATAGTGATCAATTCTATCCAAAATTTCAAAATTATTCGACAAGTCAATTGGATAATTTGGACTTTATTATCCAATGAATAACCAAAAATTTAATAATAATATCGTTTTTTGACTTAAAGATTTACCTAATCTGAATTCTAGCTAAATTTTTAAAAAAAATAAGTTGATCTGGCATTTCTCGCAAAAATTACATAAAATCATGTGACGTCATATTACGTTGCGTATAGTTTTTGACATTTTAGTATAAGTTTTGGACTGCACTACAAGTTCCATTAGGTTATCCTATCCTATACAAAACGTGTATTTTTATTGAACTATAGAGTGATTCCAGGATAAATTCCACATGGACATTTTTCAGCAAACATCAATCGTCCTAAATTTCATGAACATTCAAAAACTTTTAACATCTTACCAAAGCTGACGCCACAACAACAATGAAGATCACAAAGCGATACATACTGTATAACTGTTTAATATACACTGAACAATCTACTCCTGTACATATTATATTTATACACACATAAATCATCAATTTATAGCCGTTCTGCCTAAATACCAGAAAATTGTAGCATTGTAACGAGTAGTAATAACAATAATAATTGCCACATTTGCTGTGTGAAAACCTATGATTGTATTAAAAAGTTTGTACGGTATGTTTGTATGTGTGAAGAGATTTTTCAATTTGTAGTACCTATAATGCAATTTATTAATTTAAATATTTGTAAATTGTTTTGATATCTAAATGGCCAGTCTGTTTACAGAGAGTAAGTGCGAGGTGGAAAAAAAATCAGTTACATTTTCACTCTTAAAAATATTTATTACTTTTATAACTTACTTGATACTTCTAGCCTTTTTCGACCAAGAAACTATCCGGTGCTACATATTCGTTCAATTCAAACCAGAAGTAATAAAGCAATGAATTTAATTTTCTAAATAGATCAAAAACAGCACTTTTACACGTCAAAAGTAGTTCCGCAGATTAGCCCGGTAAAACAAATAAACATACACTACTTTACGTATATTATAGATTAAAACGTAATAATAAATAGCCCATAAGTGTGCAAGACTCGACTACTAGGGACTAAACTTTCCAAGTATTCAATTTTTTGGATTATCATCATGCTCTTGATAACTGATGATTTTGATAAAATTTTACTGAAATCCGATTGTTTTGCGCTGTATTAGTGAGGCTTGACCTCTTTTCTCTTCCCCATCCCTCCCAAAGTCAAAGTTAAAATGATTTATTTCAATAAGACCATTATAGGCACTTTAGATAAAAAGTGTTAGTCTGTCAGTCAGTTCTCTTGGTTAAGCTATTTGCTCGTTCCAAAGTGTAGATTCCAATGGAGAAGAACGATCATAAAACTCCATGGTTACTCTTTTTAAATCAGTTTCACATACACATTCTTTGGTACTTTATTAAATTGATTCAAATATGTGATAAAAGTTTCGCACTAATATTTATAAAAAAAAAAGAAAAAAATTTAGGTTAATAGTCAGTCCGGAGCTGACCAGTCCCAATTGACGGCACCCGTTCACGAACATTCCCTCCCCAATTCCTAAATCTCCGAAACTCTCTTCCCTAAAAGTAAACGCATAATTCCTCCAGTGTTGCAAGTGTCCGACTAAACTTATCAAGTATTAAGATTTTATGGCCAACTTCGACGGACTATTATAATCCCATACTGTTGATAAATATTGTTTATAAAATCTATATAGGAACTTTTGGAACGTCAACCCGATAAGAATGAGCAAATTCGAACTAAAAAACTAGTTCATAGATTTCATTTTAGATTTAAACATAAACATTTATTCTCGGTCAATGACTAATGAATGTTTGATTGTCACCTTATTTATGTTTGAATGTTAGATACAAGATGTTTAGCTATACATAATTAAGTAATTTCCTCTTCCGTCATATACCTTGGTATATAGGCGTAAAAACACGCTGGCTTGTGTATATATGCAATTTATTTTGAATTATTTCTAGGCCTTATTATTATTAAAATTGGAAATCTCAATGTTAGTCTTTACTTTTGGCGTCTTCTTTTGTTTCGCACGGGTCAGGGGAAAATATCAAATTATTTCCGCCCAGGGTAAATAAAGCGAGGGAGAGTGTCAGACTCTTACTTACTAAAAAGACCCAGTTTCTTCTCCTGCTGGCAGGCTGCAGGCTGAGGCTGGGTACCTCATTGCGTTTACCCCGCAACCCCATATTTCTATCGTGAAATATCTTAAGATCAGAACTGCGCCATTATCAGTTTAAATTAATTAGGAAAAGTCATCAAGTAAATCATATACTTGTCGGTGCCAATATAATGGGGAAACATTGTTGAAGAGAGAGAAACCTTAAAATAACTATAACAAATAATATTACCCTTTCAGCGTGAAGTCAAAAACCCGGATTGTTTGCTTAGTGCCTTTCAATCCTGGTAATTGGAGATACAATAGGTGCGCAAACGTGGCGCAAACGTGTGCGTTCGACGGGGTTGGATGAATTAATAACTACACTACTTATAAATAAAGTATTCGTTTGGGAATAGTGGTTAAATATTAGCCAATTTAGTGTGGGAGGTCTCCACTGCAATTGGTCGACTCGACCGGATTGATAACACGGTCTCACAGAATACCAACGTGAAATAACACTTTGTTGTGTTATGAGTAAAGAAAACAAACTCTTTTTTATCCGACTTCATTACTACAAAAGTTTAAATTAAGTTGGTTCAGTAAATTTTAGGTATCCCTACAAGAGCAAGAATCAGACTTGACATTCCTAAAAAGCTAAGAATAAAACAGAATTTAAGTGCTCCAGTTTAATTTAATTAGAAAATTTCCATTGCTCGGGTCTCCACGGCCTCTTTTCAAGCAGTAAAGAATTTTCATTGGCTCATTTTCACACATTTTTCCACAAATCCCTTCATTTCTTTGCAATCCGCGTTGTCATGCCATTCAAGGCAATGCTGCAAAGAAAAATAGAATTAGCGGAATTCGTACACGAAAGATATAAAAATGATTTTTCAATGAGGACACAAAGATTGGGGAATGGAACAAAATGACAACGACGGAAAGTCTACGAATTCTGCTAAAATTAACATGGCTTAACTCTCATTATTATTCACAACTTAACGTTGAATTTTATTTATTTCAAAGATATTTCTTTTCTTCAAACCTATGTTTTTTATAAATTGATCTGTCTGTAGAGAAACTGCTGGATTCAAAGTCAATAAAGGGTTACTAGAAGTATTTCAGAACCTTAATGGGACCTTAATATAAGTAAGTAACGGTATACATATACAAGCGCGTCGTTGAGTTAAGTATAGGAAGCGCAGCTGCGGGCTCGCCAGCCTAAACTCTCCGGCCCCCGTAGTGTCGTCGAGGTGCTCTGACAGTATTTTTAGTAAGAAATTCTAGTTAGTAGGAAACGATAATAAGAAAGTCTTCATTATTTTATAATCTTCTTACACTCAATATCTGCACAGCAACACAATATCTCATTTTAGTAAAGTTACAGAATTCTGAAGGAGCATATTTTTCAAAATTTTCATTTAGACAATTCATCTTTACGTCTTCTAAGAGATTGGTATCTTCACAGAATTCGTCATTTATGAGTTCCTCTAACTTCTTCATGTCAATCTGATTATCTTTTGTGGCGAACCCTTTCTTTTTGGCTATGCATATTTCTCGTTCACACTGAAAGCAAAAAAACAGCTGTATGTAACTATTGCAGATTATTAACGTTCGTATAATACTTAAAAGGCATTACCAGATAAAGCAGATAAAGTCCACTAAACCACACACAGGGTGGTAGAAATCTGTAGAAGAATTTCCAATCCATAAAAAAAAGATTAAAGACCTGTCTGTCTGTGTATAATGTGTAAGGCACACATTATATAAAAATTCTATCAATTCTAAATGCAAATGCAACATTTTTTGACAGGTTTTTAATCTTTTTTTTATGGATTGGAAATTCTTCTACAGATTTCTACCACCCTGTGTGTGGTTTAGTGGACTTTATCTGCGGTGGTCTGATAGCTTATTGAACCTTGAGTGGAACAGGACTTTATAGCTTACGCTCTGGCCAGGGTCTGGTCGCCGTCTGCAAAATTGCCCATTCGCATCTTGTAGTGGCTGAGGTTGGTCCCCTCACACCCTCCTCTTCTTTATTTTTGAGCTTGACTTCTTCATATACGGAGGAGGTGGAGTTTCCAGCATATACTCTGGTAAAGCCATGCGCGATAGGCCACCGCCACTGAGAAATCAACACTTGATGCGATATAAAGGTCAATGAACTTACCGTCACTGGATCTTTAGATTGTTCAAAGCAGTCTCTCAATTCATCCGTCATCGATAGCTTAAACGTTGAGTTTGTAGTTACGTTACAACACAACATGGCGTTCTGAAATACAATCAAACAGATGAAGACTTCAGGAAATTAAAGATGGGTGGCTAATATTTTCAGTTTTATATTTTTCCACTTACCGGTTGATAGGCTCGTCTACATTGTAAATGATCTACAGACTCAACCTGTAAACAAAAACATATTGTTATTATCTAAATTATTTACATTACGCACCTATGTATATCAATAATTTAATTACTTAATCCATAATGAATGAATAACTAATTTTACTTATTTTTTCTTTTTTATTTTTAAAAAAACGTTGCCCCACGCTTGGATTTTTTCCTGCGTCGTAAATCAATATTTTAATCATTATTCATAAATGAATATTATATCATCAATAATATAATCATTATTCAAGTTCAAATTAAAATTGTTCACCAATTGGGACAATAATCTTAAAGGAATATTGGTTTTTAATCTAACTGAACGAAACACTATTACTTTCTTGTAACCACGACACTCTTATTCATGGACGAGTAGCGTCCAAGGCAGGCGCTGCAATATCGCGTTTCCTTGAGTAATTGAAGGGTTTTTCAGTAAATTGTGTATGTTCCATGGTAGTTATTATACAAAAGACTACACTTCAAAAGATAATAGTTCCTATTTACAATACTATACATTTAATTTTTCCAAACAACATTAAATATCTGATCAGAATTAAATTTTTTTGGTTTTATTTTTTCACTAGTTTTACTAAAACTTAGTTTATACGATATCCTACTCTTAGCTATTTAAAGATGTTTGTTTAGTCTTCTTAATAATAAACTACTATGCCAAATGCTAGCGGCCGTTTCCGGGGGCCCATTAATTGAGTTTGCCAGTCACCCCCTGCCTGTTTATCCGTATGTATCAATATTGGTCAGGGGCAGGGGCCATAGTATTTCCATAGTTATCATATCCACCAGTCCATAGCAACCCATACCCATAACCTTATAAATTTTTACCATATTTTGCAATAGTCCTTCATCAACTGGGGATTGTCCTTGGGTGCACTTTCATAGTGCATACAGGGATAATTGGCTGATGTCCCATTTCACTTATATTAAAATTGTTCAAAAGGCCTCTGCGAGTTGGCTTCGGCCCCTCGTATACGCCTTCCAAAAGTCCGGGACCCCGTGGTCCCGTGAGTGGAAAGGAACTATTATTACTACTAAAAGTTATAAAAGCCATTGTGTTTAAAATAACAGATCTAATTTCAACTTATCCGAACTTAATTGAACGTTTCCCAAACTTATTTCTTATTTGCTTTGAAAGATTCCAAAGTAACACGTTTTAATGGGCACTGCGAGTAAAAAGGTCGTGATAAATGTTAATAGGTCAGTAATACAAATTGCTGTTTGGTAAGGATGCGTAAAAGGGAAATCATGCCTTGAGCTCAATTTCCACAGCAAATAAAGAATTATAATAAGTAAATATTCAAATTTTCAAAAATTGCTCGTAACCATTAGGTTACGAGCTTAGAGTAGTGTTACGAGTTTAGGGTAGTGTTATTAAACACTGAATTTCAATAATTCAATATAAATACAAAATATGGCAATACGCTCATTATTTTTTTAACTGATAAAACCTATAAATAATTTCCATGGATGTTGTATAAGATACAGAATGTGATGTCATGACGTCAAAATAATAGCTGCGATAATAATAATAAAAATAAATCCGCAAGGCAGCTTGTGGCGAGCTGTCGGGCAGTGGCGACCCCACGAACCTGACTCCCGGGAGGTATCTTGTTTTTCACCTCCAGTTAGTCCTCGTGACGAACTGGAGTGAACACTGATGAAGAACAAGCCCTCCCACCTCATTCTTGCCTTAATTGGCTGGCTTGAGTGGAGATTCGCAAGAGTAGGAGTTGAAAGAGACTCGGGGGAAGGATGTATCTCAGTAAGGTGCTGGTAGGGGTCTTGATCGTACATCCGGGATTGCTCTGATAGCCGTGGAATGCCTCTCCTTCCCCAAGCAACTCAACGTACCTATGTTGCCCCCTAATCGCTACATGCTGACATGCTAGCGACTGTTTCCGGGTGCCCTTTAATTGAGTTTGCCAGTCACCCCCTGCCTGTTTATCAGTATGTATCAATATTGGTCAGGGGCAGGGGCCATAGTATTTCCATAGTTTTTATCCACTAGTCCATAGCCCATCCATACCCATAACCCTATCAATTTTCATCACATTTTACAATAGTTCTTCATCAACCGGGATTGACCTTGGGTGCACTTTTATAGTGCATACAGGGATAATTGCCGGCTGATATCCCATCACATTTAGATTAAAATTGTTCAACGGACCTCTGCAAGTTGGCTTCGGCTCCTTGTAAGCCTTTCAAAGGTCCGGGACCCTGTGGTCCCGTAAAAGGAAAGAACAAACAGAATAATAAAAATAATTAATTACTAAGCCGTTAAAATAGTTTCTTAATTTCTTTCCAATCTAATTTTATTCCCTTCAATGATCTTTATCGTTGTGTAAAGTATAACATTATAACTTACCAAAACTGCGATCGTCGCAATAATAAAAAAAACAACACGATACATGACGAATGTAATTGTCGAACTGATTTTGGCAGCTAATAATAATATGAGTAATAAAACCTTCGCACTTGGTGTAACACTAAGCAATAACAACATAGCGCTGTCTGTATAACAGAAAATTGAAATAAAACTAGTACATATCGCGACTTTGATTGAATTGTTTTTTATGTGATAAAGCGGCTACTGAACATTTGGATTAACTGATGTTTAGCAATTGCTACACCCCATAGAGAACCGTAACACCAGACACATTGTAATTATGGTTTTGGGGCCAGTCTTCTGGGGAGATTGGGTTTTGGGGTGGTGGAGATTGGATGGAGAGGCTTATCACAAAGTCGTGATTTGGACCAGTTAGCTCAATAGTGGATATCCCACACTTTTTTTACTATTTCTAACTTCATCATTATCATCAGCCCATAAGTGCCCACTGGTGAGCAAAGGCCTCTTCTCACACGGAGAAGGTTTGAGCATTAATCACCTTGCTTGCTCAATGCGGGTTTACGATTTCAAACTTATAATTAGAAATTAAAAGTCCAGGTTTCCTCACGACTTTACCTTCACCGTATGTTAGTGGTGTCTAAATAAACATAGAAAGTACATATTACTCGGAAAAAGTCAGATTGATACTTGCCAGGTTTCGAACCTACACCCTCATGCATGAGAAGCGGGCTCTTTAACCTCCGGGCCACCACGACTATTTTTAACTTAAATAAACAAACAAACAAACTCCTTAGCTTATAACCTAAGTACAGATTATAGTTTTTAGTTACTCCAAGTGGAAACAAAAGAGATTGTAAATGTCACAGAGTAATCGCAATTTTAAAAAGAATTATATTAAAATCCTTAAAGCAGAAGATTTGAAATTAATAGCACAACCATATTCTTATCGAGCTAAAACATTTAGTCTCAGTGAACATTCAATTTGATATTAATGTTCGAAATACCACTGCATAGTATAAATACATAATAACAGTTTCATTCAAAATGTCCTCAACAAAAATTGAGGTCACTTGCAAATTTTTGACCTTGAATTAAAGAGCTCAAATGCAAACCTAAATGCTACAATTTCGACTGTGAAAACGATGATTTTGTAAAATTTTAAAATTAATAATTTGAATGCGTACTTCCGATGATATGATTGAGATAAGTGATGTGTAAATTGATATTTTCGCACAAAATTGTGAACTATGATAGTGTATTTTTTTTAAGCTGGGGAAATCATTAAATTGTTAAATCTTGCATTGGGTGGAGAGAGAGGCAGACTCACCCTTAGCTGTTATTGGTAAAAATGCGACGCAACTGGTATGGGGCGAAAAAAGGCCCCGGTGTAGAAATTAAAGAGTACAAATATTTAAATAAATTATATTCATAATTTTTGTATTATTTATAAAAAAAGTACTCACATTGTAGGCATTAGTTAAGGTTTAGGTTTAGCAATTTATAACAAAAAAGGTATTTTTTTTATTAAAATGAAAAGTAACACGTATTTATTTTCTTAGTTTAGGTATTGATATTGATACAAAAATATTGTTAATTTTATCTTAAGATCCTATATTGCGCTTACAATCGAATAACATTTTGTTGATTTGTAAAAATTAAATTCAAAAAACGTTTATATAAAATTCATTTTTATTATACAGACACAAAAAATAGCGAGAAAAGAATTACTATTATCATCTTACCACATTAATATACCTCGACTTTGCTTACAAATGGTGGAGTAATGATAAAAATTTAGAATTTCAAGCCTGCTCCCGAGTGATAACGAAATATTCTCGTAAAATTCCGTGCCAGGAAATAAGGATATGAAGTCATTTAGTAAAATGATCCTAAGGTGGGTTAAATGATATCGGTATTATTCGAGTTTGCTGTTAGCTCAGCGATATTATAGGTAAGGCAAAGGTAAAAATTTACGATAGGCTAATTCGAAATCGATGTTGAATCTGGCTATGACAATAATATAGGTATACAGTCTTTCTGTTTGTAAAAGGCTTTATTGTTAAGTTTCTTGAAACTGGTAAAATAATATTGATGGATTTTCAATTAGTAGATGAAGGACTTAAAAGAGAGTAAGTTGATTCGTTTAAAAATATTATATTTAGCAGATACTTGTAATTGATGTGCTTAAATTTTATAAATGTGTTTTTCAACTTTCTCAAAAGAAAATGCTTAGATGTTTCAGTATATATATTATTAAATGAGATTTTTTTATTGGCACCTTATTAGTTTTTTATATTACATGACGGTAAACGACCAGATGGATAACCTGACGGTAAGCAATAAGCGTCAACCAGGACACCAGCAACGACGGAGGAGTTACGAGTACGTTGCTAACCTTTTGCGGATTAGGGATTTGAAGATTGGGGAGGGATTAGAGTAGGAAGAAATCGGGCCTCCGGTAAGTAAGTAAGTAAGTTGTTGTTTTCCGGTAAGTAAGTTGTTGCACGTCGATTTTCTGTGAGACATTTTTTGTGAGGGGAATCATCAAATGACTTTTCCCTCCTAGCGTTGGGTTAGGTTAGGTTAGGTCTTTCGCTGTCATTATCATCAATTTCCATACCTACACAATTTCAGTCAGATTTACGAGAACCTCACTTAAATCTACAAAAAAGAATAGAAACTTCAACTTATAGTGTATTATAGTTATCCTAGTTAAAATTTTATATAAAAATCAAAATACACGTACCATCTTCAAATTTTCCAAACTTTACAAGAAAAAATATGTTACCCAGCTACGTTTTTTTTTAACTTAAAGTTTATTATTTAAATGTGCAGGACAAGCTCTGTGCGGTCGAAACTGATGAGGAGATCGTGACAAGAATACGAGTAGGGGTCATGCCATAATGTGTTCAAATACAGAAGGTATAGGCTTCATATTTCACTACAAATGTAAAATTTATAAGAAATAAAAAAGTTTGAGCTATATATTTACTAAAATATTATTTGTTCATGACTCATTTTTTATATTTTTTGTGATTTATTTGTTCGGTTACAGACAATAATATCTGTCCTTAATCTATGCAGGCTATTGACATGTGGCCGTAGATTTTGTCTAGTTCGGGAATAAGGAATCGAAGAAAGAAGTTTGGAAGCCATGCTTATGGGTCAGGTCAACTGGGCTGATTCTTTGGCCTTACAGAATGCCAGCGTAAAACAGCGTTGTATTTTGCCGTGTGAGTGAGGTTGCCGGAGGCCTAACCTTTCTTACACTTCCCCAATTCCAAAATCTTCAAAAACCTTATACCCAAAAGGCCAGCAACGCACTCGTAACTTTTCTGGTGTTGCGGATGTCAATGGGTGGCACCAATTGCTTACCATCAGGTAATAAGCATGCTTGTTAGCCTTCCTATCACATAAAAAAATTATTGTATCCTGTCTTATTGTATTATTATGTCAATGTTAGAAGAACGTGTCTACAATC